GAATGGGGATGAGTTCCTGTCTCAGCGTAGGTTCTTGGAGGTGCTCGCTGCCTTTGGGAAGGATTCGCAGCAGCTTTCAGCATCCCATCCAGTGGTGAGCAGGAGGGATGTGTCTCACCAGAGCCTGCATAACCCTCTCACAAGCATCCACCTCTATCTCATCAGTACATGTGGAGTTATTTATCCCGCTTTCTATGTCTCCACACCTTCAAAGAGATGGGTGCTGCTCATATGGCCGAGCATCCAGGTCGGAAGCAGAGAGGCACCGTAATGAGCTGCAGCAGAGATTCCTGGCTCCCTGCCCTGTTTTGGTGTGAAACTCTCTGGATGGGGGTAATGTGCTGCCTCTGCCTTGCTGGGGTGCTGGTTGTGCTTTCAGGAGTGCAGACAGATACCCATGGCTGTCAGCCCTTCATCCTTGGCATGGGCAGCCCTTGGGTGGGAAGGGGCTGGGGGGGCTGTTTGTGTGAGGAGGGGAAGGGAGTTGCACCATTTGGGGACCTGAAGGCAAAACGCCTTGGGGGGGGGGGCATCTTTTCCTGCCTTCTTCCCCACCGGCATCTTCCCCTTGGGGGGAAGTGGGTGTCATAGGCATCGTTTGGGAATTGGGGGTGAACCAATGGCTCAGGACAGCCACTGACATGGGGATGTGCGTGTCCCTTGGGCACAAGGTGACAGCTTTCCCTGGAGGTCGTCCCCCTGTGCTGCCTTGGCTGACAGCATTGCGCTGTTCCTGAACTCTCAGGAAGCAGGAAATCCCCCGGAAAGCCTCCCAGGTCATTTCCTTCCTGGCGGATGACCATCAGCCCCTCTGCCTTCGCTTGGCACAGGGAGGATTTCTGCTCCCATCCCATGATGGTGGCCTCTTGTGGGGGGCACGCAGTGGCTGCTGCCGGGGTGGTTCGGTGCCTCCCGTCCTCACCTCCTGCCTCTCTCCTTGCAGGCTGCAGCATTTTAAGGAGTGCATCCGGTTCATCCATGAATGCCGGCTCGGCGGCGGAGGCTGCCTCGTCCATTGGTGAGAGCTGCTGGAGCCCCATCGCATTCCCGGTTGGCATCGGTTCTCTGGGAGGTGGGGATGGGCTCCCAGAAAGTGTCCTCAATGTCGAATGTCACTTATGGTGGGGAGGAAGAAGATAAGACAAGGAACAGTGGGAGGAGGACAGGGGAAGGTTTCTGCTTCTGAGATCCATGGGGATCATAGAATCAATGGGGTTGGGAAAGACCTTTAAGATCATCAAGCCCAACCATTCCCCAGCACTGCCAAGGCCACCACTAACCCATGTCACTGAGGACCTCATATACACATTTGTGAACACTTCCAGGGATGATGATTCCACCACTGCCCTGGGCAGCCTCTTCCAATTCCTGAGCACCTTCTCTGTGAAGAGATTATTTCTATGATGTCAACTGCCTCTCACAGTTACAGCCCATATTTAACAAGGAGACAGCTTACCTTCAAAGTGTATTTCATGAGAATTTGCAATGCCATCTCCATGATAGTGCTTGGATAGCAGCAACAAAATGAGTCGGTAGTTTGTCTGACTTTAGACTCAGTAAGGTAAGATTGGAGAGTTATTAGATTGAAGAGTTAATCTCCAGTCTAAACCTCCCCTGGCACAGCTTGAGGCCATCTTCTCTTGTCCTATCACTCATCTGGGAGAAGAGGCCAACCCCAGCTCACTACAACCTCCTTTCAAGTAGTTGTAGGGAGTGATGTGTGGTCCATGCACAGAAAACA